AGTGCTGACTTTTTTTAATGTAAACTGTGTGTGAAAATGAAGCTCGACTAACTTGGATAGCTCTAGAGAATATCAGATTGTAGTAGAGCTGGGCGAAATAAAATCTCAGATTTTATTTTTTTAAATTCGATTTTTTTTTACGATTCCCCCCCCCCCCCCCCCCCCCCCCACCACTTATAAAGGAAAGCAATAAGTACAAACGGCAGACAACTAAAGCAAATGTTGCTTTTATTTAATCAAAAGCAAGAAAAATTTAACCCCCACTTCTGGAATGAATAATAAATAAATGAACACCGTCTTGGAATCAAAGTCCCAGTTGTGTTTTAAGTCACACTTTGTAGTCTAGACTAAAATGAGACAAACATTCACCTTGAGAGTATAGCACCATTTTTTAAAGCATTAACAATACATTCAAATCTGAGGCAATTTTGTTTATAATTCGAGGATTTGCCAGCATAAAGAATTCAGCACTGAACAAAAAGTATGTTTTGAGCGGTGAGGAGAGTCTATCTTAAATGCTTAAATTGGCCATTGCGTTCAAGGAATCAACATATACGGTATGTATGTGATTGGCTACATCGCTCAACGCTGCAAACATGTTATACATAGAAAATCTGGCCTGTAAATCGTTTCTATTTTGTTTTGGTTGTTCTTGAAGCTTTTCTGCAACAGATGAATACAAATCTATTACTTTTTATATGTTTTATATGTTTTAAATATATATATTTCTAGTTTGCGGGAGTCCCGCGAATCGTTTTAATCTCCCACAAACCACACACAGACTGAGTGCATAACCGCCCGCGCTCGGCCATCAAATCTAGTCCCGCGCCGCACTCTATTGCGCTGGCAGTGCATGTCTCTCAAGGGCCCGGCCTGACCCGAGGATAGTGACGGGAAATATCGGCCCGAGCCATGTTGTCGCTTGCTGTATGCTGTTTCCGTTTCGCGTGTGCTATCATGTTGTTGTTGTCGCTTACCATACTGCTACGTGAGTGAAATTAACGCTACGGAAACTCCGGGGAGCCAAAAATATGACATTGCACAAAAACTCGATTTACGTTTTTTTTAAATCGCCCGCAACAAAAAATTCGAATTAATTAATTTAATCGATTTTTTGCCCAGGCCTAGATTGTAAGGATTTATTGTGCGAGTTGCGTTTGTTATGCGTGTCTACTTTGATGTGTAGCCAGAACATTGTACTATTAGCAATAACACTAGCCTACGTTCAGGACTAATGTTAGCCGAATAATAATAATAATAAGCTGTTATAAAATCATTCCAGATAGCTGTTGTTACCACGGGTTTTCCCCATAACGTTAGATCTGTAGCTATATGACTGATTCTGGTACATTTTATTATACTGCTGCTTCCAGGGAAGGACCAGCAAAACTAGCTGTATGATATGACATGTGTTTTTTTCATGATGCACGAAACAGGAGGGAGGGGCGAGCTAACTTGGTTTGTTTGGGATCTCGCTTCAAACACAAACAGAAATGACGTCACCCACAGTCGCTGATACAACCTTTAAACTTACCTCAGGAACACAATTGAAAAATAACTCCAAAGTTATTACATATTTATCATATTTTGACTTAAACCCACGTTATTTCGGACTCAAATTTATGCGTTTTAAATGGCGACACTATCAACGGCGAAAATAATCTGCAGCTAGGGCTGCTCGATAATGGTAAAATCATAAATCGCGGTTATTTTACTCAATATTGAAATCACGATGGTTTAACATGAATATTACATAAATTCATGGAAGTACAACTCCATAACAGTTACAGACAGGGTCCGAAATGAACTTTTTGGCTCACCTGCCACGCGACTGGTAGATGAAAAAATATCCACCAGCCAAGCATATATTTTTAACCGGCCAAAATAATAAACAGCCTTTTGGTGTCACGTATACATTAATTTATATATAGGCTACATTTAACACTTTTGTCATTATATTCCTGGTCAAAGCTAGTTCACTATTGCTAGCCTCTCCGCAAATTGCCTACCCTACCTTTAACATGTTATTGATGTCTAATTTATTTATGTCTGAATAAATATTTTACGAAAAAAAAAATTTATTACAGCCACTGTTGTAGGCTCCACAATTGAGTAGATATATAATTATCAATAAAAATCATTAGCTGATATAAAGCCTGCCTTATGTGCAATTTAAATTTTTTTTTATTATTTGAGTGTTGATTGCTATATCTAAAAATAAATAGTAATTTAATTTGGACCTTGAATTTTGATTGAATGTTTTAGTAATGAACCAAACTGACAGGGTTCCCTGTATAGTACTTTAGAGCAGTGTTTCTCAAACTTTTTCAGCCCAAGGACCACTTTATCTTCCATTTTTTTTCTGAGGACCCCTAACAAAATCCCACTGTAACACACCCCCAAAAAACAACAAAATTGTAAGGATAAGCTAAATTTAAGTTTAAATTTAACTCCTAACTGAGCTTTGACTGATATAGGTTTTTTATTTTTCTGTCAGTGAAGAAAGTAAACATAGGGTCAACTGATATAGGTTGATTTTGCCTATGAATAATTTTTTTATTTACTGAAAGCTAAAGCTTGGTAATTAAGTTTATTAACCCTTTCACACGTAAGTTTAAAATATTCTAACTGACCCCCCAGCGTGAGTTTTTCAAGGCGACTGTTATTTAGAACTTGCCACTTTAATGTTTCCATGGTGACGCGTCATTGCTTGTCACGTGACACAGCACAACCAAAACACGGCGCTGAATGAATGAAGGATGATCTGCTTTTGTGTAATTTTTCCTTTTTTGTTAAAAATATTCATAAATGTATTAGCTATAACATGAAACACTGATATTCCGATTGTCAAATATGTGCAAGTGGATGGGTTTGACATTGTTTAGACATCTTTATAACGATCGCGTTAGTTGAGCTGTATGCACAACGGGCGGTGCCATTTTAGTTTCTTTTTCAGTTCAGAGAATCAGATCTGTTGGATTTACAACGTCAATTCCTCCACTTTTTACGAAATTCATGATAGTAAGTGGCTTGTGAACTGGGAGAAGAATAGGGTCAAATGTAGCTACTTACACAATGTGTATCTGATATGAATAAAACATGTTGTCTTATTATAACTGAAAAGATTATTGCCGCTTCCATAGACATCAGTGTGTATTTTACAAACTCAAAATCATTGTTTTTCTAGTACTTATGTGTATTTAAATGTCTGAAACCTAAAATAAACATTGAAAACACTCAATAGCTGTGTTATATGACAGCTCTGAGTGCGTCCGTCTCTGGCTTAGTGCCAGCCAGCGCGCGAGAGCAAGTTTGAATTTAGCAGTTGCTGACGTGATGCACTGAACATTCTAATCACACCGGTGTGATCGTACACTCCAGGGATCAGCCAAGAAGACTGATCACACTGGTACGTGCGAAAAAGTAACGATTTTGTAAATACTTGCCTAGTTTAGGTAATCTTTTCGCGGACCACTAGGGGGCGATGGCGGACCACTAGTGGTCCGCGGACCACACTTTGAGAATTACTGCTTTAGAGCATTAGTTGAGAGATTGACATGTACTGTACCTGATATTCAGGTATATCCAAATGAATTGGAATCGAACCAAAATTAAATTGTAAAATCTGTGTCAATACCGAGCCCAAATACTTATACTAAATATTGGACTAGTCATTCAAACAATAAAACAAGTGTATAACAATAAAGCATGCTCTCAAGATAGTATATAAAATGGTTTGTCACCTCTCCAGTGAGTGCAGGAAGTTGGACACACTGTTCCTGAGGTTGACATCAGCCACATGCAGTGCTCCACTCACTACTCCCAGCATAGTGTCAGGACGCTCTGCCTACAACCAGTAAGACAATCAAACTGACAACCATCTCCATTTGTCATTTAAATGATGTGACTGAATGGTAACTTGTAGTGGACTCAAATTAGGAAAGCGTATTTCAGCACCAAACATGAAATGTCAAAATACCTTGCTTTCATAGGCGAATGTTTGACGGGATTACAGGCATGTTCATGAGAGTTGTGATGTGAAAGGAAGACAGTGGATTCATGTACCTGCATCTTCTCTGAGATGAGTCGGTCCAGCCAACCCGTGTCGATGGTGTTGTGCTGGAAGCTTTCAGTTTCTAGCAGCTTTATGAGATACTCCACTGTAGTCCTGAAGTCTCCTCTGATGGACAGCTCCTTGAGGGCCACCACCATGTTCCTAACATGACCCAGTCAGCTTAATCAATAATACATCTCATTATCTTTTTTATATCAAATATAAGTAAACTGTTTTTTAATGGACTGCAGGACAAACGCTTGATTGATAAGAATAAGTGAACGGACCTGCATAACCTTTACATAATGATTCATTTATACATGATTCTTATATTTATGCATTATTTGCAATGAATTAAAACTGACAAGGTGAGTCAATTTGTGACAAACACTGATGTACTCTGCTTTTCTCAAGAAAAAAAATTTCAGCAAGAGGAAGTACTCACGAGATGGCTTCCTCTCGGTTTTCTCCCCAGGAGAAGCAGTGGCCAAACTGAGAGTCAGCAAACTCATGCAGACCTCCAGCAGCCGCCACACTAAAGTAGCCCCACACGTTCTTGTTACTGCGGAAATTTAGTTCCTGGACAGTTCCTGAGCTGGGCTTAAAACCCTGACACACACACAGACACAAAACAATACAGACAAAGCTTCATCTCAAGAAATGTACATGGCAATTACTTTGTTATTACCAATAACATTCAAAAGTGATTTTTTTTTGTTTAGTATGATTTTTTTTAAAATGTAAAAAAAAAAAAAATGTATTTTGTTTTACCAAGGCTGCATTATTTAAAAACAGTAATATATTATCATTATTTATATAACATATATAACACACACACACACACATATATATATATATATATATATATATATATATATATAAAACATGATACTGATACTCATTCTCAAAGTTTCATACACAAAAAGACTCTTAAGGCCCGTACACACCGGGACGAATATCAGCGCGCGTTATTCGTCAGTGTTTTTCAACGTGTTTTTCGCTGACGATGAGCTGAGTGAACATGCAAATTCATTCCCTGACATTAGATGGCGCTTAATGTAAAACAGAAATAATAATAGAATACTATACTAGGGTGATCATATTCATGTCTCAATGTTTTATTTTGACAGATAAAAAAAAACGAATGAAATAATGATAGAAATATTATCTTATGTATTTAGAAAAATAAATAAATAATAAATAACTAAAAGAAATGCCTCCAAATGTAACAAAAAATAGCTCTCACAAACTTACACAAACGAACTAACAAAATCTATTTATATCTTTAGTTTTCATCCTCTTTATCCTGTTTTTCTTCCTCATCCACCTTGTTCGCCCATCTATATTTTGCTGTAGAACTGATCTTTCCCAGCAGTTTTTTTGAAAACCAGGACATTTCACTTAAAAACAGTCAGGACAGGACGTGGAAACAGGACATGTGTAACGCAAAGTTGAGATGTTGCCCAGAGATAAAAACATAGCCGTTGTCGGATGAACAGATGCACGAGAGACGAGAGTTGTTGTATTTCCCCGCGTTTAATAAAACCACTCAAACGTTACACTCGTCCTCATACATGGGGATCGAGCAAGAATGAAAACACAAACAAACATCTGGTCACAATAGAAAAATAAAATAAAAGAAAGAATACAAAGAGTCGGCAGAGGTTATCTATCTCCTCTCCTCACTTGTCAAAATTTACCTGACATTACGCACACTATGCGCAGTTCTTATCTCAACTCAGATTTCTATAAAGCACAAAGTGACCGTTTTACACATGTCCCGGGAAAACAGGACTATTAGTACCCCTATACTGTACTATTATTACAGAAATACTAATATAAATATTATCATACAGCTCTTTATGCTCCGAGACCAGCAGCTCAACATTCATCTTGCCCATAGGTATCTTATCTCTTCTTCGCCGTATGTGTGCTCGGCAAGACCGTTTTGTGTTTGAGCGCCCCCAAGTTGTGTTTTACTGTAACTTCAGAAGTACCAGACACGTGAGCAAACCCGCCAATCTCGTTGGTCGGATAGGTTTTGACGCGGCGCGTCAAACCAAAAAAACGAACCCGAGGCGTTTTTTTTAAAATGACGCTTTTACGTGGCGTTTTTCGCGTCGGTGTGAACACTCACATTGGCGCCCATTGTTTAGTCACGAGGCATTAAACTTCGACGAATATCGCGCGCGAAATTCGTCCCGGTGTGAACAGGCCTTTAGAATACTTTCTGTGTCTTTAAGACATCAAAGACACTTCCTTTGCATGTGAAATCAACATCAGAGCTTAATAAATTTTCACATTTACCCTTTGACATGACCCTTTAAGTATCAATCAGGCTCACACACCTCATCTGGATTTTCGCTGGTAATTCGAGCTGCAATGACATGTCCTCGTGGAGAGGGGGTGTAAGAGAGTCTATCATAGTCAATGGGGGAGTCTCCCCACGGCTGCATCCCGTACATCACTCTGATGTCTTTAATGCGGTGAAGTGGGATGCCCATAGCGATCTGAATTACAGAACAAACAGGTCAGACAATCACCAAAAATAGCTTTCAAAATGAAAACAAAAAAACAAAAACAGCATTACCCAATTTCCCTGTAAAAACAATCAGCATACACTCAATATCTATGATATTCTGGCCCCTTGATAAGAGTAAAATATGTAGAATAAGATCCATGTGCTCCTGTCTTCAAATATGCACTTTCCCCTTTAATTTCTACACACCCTTGGTTATGCAATTGATTCCCCAGTGTGTTTCTCTCCACATTGGCCTTTTCAGTCTCTCCTTTTCTCTCCATTAATTCCCCATTCATCTGCAGCATTCTTTGTGTGTTACATAAGCATATGAACTCCCCTCTCCCACTGGACCTGAAGCACACTGGCCTCAACCAAGTGACCTATATAGAAACGACAGTTGTCACGTGACCATTGTCTGCCGCAAAGACTGTGTTATATTGTTCACTAGATGCTTCCAATCTAGTGATTGTGGCAATTTGAATGTGCCTTATGCTATGTGGCAAAGGCAGTTTATTAATTATCACAGTATTCCACACAAAACGTATAAAAGTAATATTTCAGGTTAAATGCAACTTAAAGGGATAGTTCACTTTGAAATTAATTTTTGATATGTTTTAGCTTACCTCAAGGGCATCCAAGATGTAGATGTCTTTGTTTCCACAGTATTTTCAATTTTGACATTTTTCAGTCAAACCGTTGTTGTCTATCAGTCATAAACTGGAGGCTAAGGGGGTCCACCAAAAAGCATGCACAGAGAAGTCAAAATTAAACATGATTTAATGACTCGTAAATGTAAGTACACATTGATGGCCTAAGACACGAAACGAGCGGTTTGTGTGAGAAAACGAACAGTATTTATATAGTTTTTACCTTTTGTAATCATAGTAACGTCCAAGTGATCTGAATCAGTTGTGCAATGTCCAACTGAACCGAACTCAATCAGTTCAATGTTACGCTGGAAGTGATCCCTTGCGTGTGACGTCACTCAATATTTACACAGAGATTTCGGAAGTTTTACCTTTTACTAAACAGATTTAGATATACCAAAATCGTCTTCCATTGCGGTTTCCCGTATATATAAATATGTTTAGTGAAAGATAAAACTTCCGAAATCTCTGTATAAACAAAGAGTGACGTAGGCGCGCAAGCGATCACTTCCGGCGCATGCGCAGACCGAAGCGCCCGTGCCGTCAGATCATTTTGTCATGGCTATGATTGCACGAGGTAAAAACGATATAAATACTGTTCGTTTTCTCACACAAACCGCTCGTTTCGTGTCTTAGGCCATCAATGTGTACTTACATTTACGAGTCATTAAATCATGTTTAATTTTGACTTCTCTGTGCATGCTTTTTGGTGGACCCCCTTAGCCTCCAGTTTATGACTGATAGACAACAACGGTTTGACTGAAAAATGTCAAAATTGAAAATACTGCGGAAACAAAGACACCTACATCTTGGATGCCCTTGAGGTAAGATAAAACATATCAAAAATTAATTTCAAAGTGAACTATCACTTTAAAGGGATAATTACCCCAAAATTGAAAATTCTGTCACCCTCATGTCGTTCTAAACTTCGTTCACTTTAGAAAAAAAATAAGATAGTTGAGATGAAATCAGAGAGCATTCTGATTCAGCCTTAATTTTATGACGCAACGAGAATGTTTTTGTACGCGTACAGTTTATCAATTCAACAATTTATAGTTGAATAAAGGGGGAGGGGGGTCAGAAGGCTCTCGGATTTCATCAAAAAGATCTTAATTTGTGTTCCAAAGACAAACAAGACAAAAGGGTGGGTAATTAATAACAGAATTTTTATTTTTGTGTGAACTAACCCTTTAATCATCAGTAGGCTTCAGATGATGACGATAGAGTTTACTAGAGCCCGACCGATAAAGTATTTTGAAGGCTGATACCGATACAAATATTTTTGGGTTTTAAAATCCGATATATCGGCCAATACTTTATTTATTTTTTTAAACTGGAGATGATTAGTCACAAATTTTGTCATGCTTATTTGAGTTAAGAGAACTGATGGGGATGTTCTTTTAATTGTTATTCAAGCAATGTATGTATCGTGACCAACTCAACGAGTGTTGCCAACAGGAACGGTGTAGAGTGCACTCTGGTGGACAAACTATACAACTCCAACACTCATGACATGGTTCAAGCGTGTTTCGTCCGTTTTTATTTTATTTTTGAAATATTCATTTATCGGCCGATACCGATAGTTTGGAAAATGCCTAATATCGGTCTGCCGATATATCGGTCTGGCTCTAGAGTTTACCACATTAAATAAAACACACATAAAATACATACAGACCTGCAGTTGGGCCGCAGGCAGGTTAACATCAGCCACCATCTCAGTACAAGGATGTTCCACTTGAAGACGAGGGTTGAGCTCCAGGAAGTAAAAACTGCCGTCCTGACTGTAGAGATACTCCACTGTCCCTGCACTCACATAGCCCACCATCTTCGCCAACTTCACTGCACACTGAAACAAAGAGATACAGTTCTTCATTTGTATCAATTTAAGTAACCCAGTGCTTCATGGTGGCAGATACTTTATCAATTCCTTTAGGGTAATATAACATTAGCATTCTGTTGAATCTGATGCCTCATGATTGTCGCCCATACCTTCTCCATATCCTCAAACACATCAGAGGTGGCAATAGTAGCCGGAGCCTCTTCAATGATCTTCTGATGTCTGCGCTGGACAGAGCAGTCACGGCCGAACAGAGAGATGGCATTACCGTACTGATCAGCCAAGATCTGCACCTCCAGGTGACGGGCATGTTTGGCCAATTGCATGACAAAGATGGGGGAACCTGGAACCTCAGCTTGAACCTAAGAAAATACAGTATTGAAGTTATAGTTCTATGATACCCTAATAGACATTGGAAAGTTATCAGTTAAGCCCCGTTCACACTACAAGCGACTTTGTCGCTAAAGGGTCGCCAGTGGCTGCGCTGGAGGCCGTTCCCACTACTGGTTGCCTAGTAACGTTTGTGAGTGACATTCACGGATGTTACTCAATGTTAGACAACAAATACGTTTTATTGACGCTACAAACAAATATTTTGGAAGGAGTCTAAATATAAATGGAATCAGTACATAAAATGCAAAATATTAAAGGGTACATATCATGCTTTTAAATCATTCATTTTTACTTATAAATCATACATTTGTGGTCTATATAAAACATAACTGCAATGCTTGGGTCTGAATTCCTCATTATTATAGCTCCACAGGCCCCTTTTCTACCCCTTTTCTGATGTGCGTCTGTGAGCAACCCGTTTCGAAGCGGCCCCTTTAAATAAAAAGGAGTTGCGTCTTTCCCCCGTCGCTTTCCAGGTCGCTGAGTTCACGGTCGGTTCAACTCTCCCCGTTCGGCCATTATTGTAGTTTGATAAGAGATATACGATTACTATAGCTTTAAAAGAACATTTTTCTTCACACGTTAACAAAATGTCAACAACGGAAGGCTTGTCCATCAAGCCTAACATATTCGAGCCAGAGCGAGCGATTTGAAAAAGACGACGACGAACCTGCAAAACAACGTCTTCATATGGATGCAGTGGTATGTAAGTTAAGTTAACTATGTTGTGTTATTAGTGAAAGTCGACTATTTTCTCTTGTTAAAACAAGCACACTGATAAGATAAATGACTACGGTCTAATCTTACCACTAAAAATCTGTATTATTAATAATATGATAACTTACGTTTGGAAAGCATCAGAAAACACAGCAGCTAAATGATAGAAGGAATTTACCCCTCATTCAGAAGAAGTCGATCGGCAAACCCTTCTGTATACTGGCGGAGGTTGTTGAAGTGGGGATCCTTGAAGTACATCCAACAACCGTACATTTTGACTTGCCCTCTCGTAACTTCTGCATCATTGAGCTCGGACTACAAAATCGGAGCGTGAAATAATAATGGCGGATTGCTCGAAGTGTTGGACCGGTAGTCAATGTCCTTATTTGTCAGTTCCGCTGCAAATACTGTTACGTAATTGTTCAAAAAACGTAGAGAACAGAAAAATCTGAACAGGTTGAAAAATATGACCAAAACAGAATATAAAGATATAATCGAAGCACCTAAAGAGAGTAATTTCATCTTTTCTGTACTTATAAACACTCCAAATATACAACAAAATGCATTTAAGGGCTAGAAAAGTGGATTTTGCATGATATGTCGCCTTTAAAGATGAATGAGAAACAGTGAGTGCTCTTTGCCATCGCGGCTATTTAACTGCAGCAAACGGGCAAATACTGGTCTATCTGGGTTCCCGAAACCATTCAGTCATGGAGTCAGTACGGTGAATACCACTATATGTACACGGAGATATATCATAAATTATAGGTCAGGTTCTGACTGCTAAAATGAGCTTCTCGTTTGACTTGACTCGGTGACGCTCTCCACTGACTTCGCTCCTATTGGTTGTTGCTCCCGAAAGTCGCTTTGCATTTGCATAAAGTTAAACAGATCTCAACTTTGTCGCGTCGCTGGTCAACAGATCTCAACTTTGTCGTCGGAAGTCGCAAGTAACCCATTCAAATGAATGGTAACGTGTCGCTTAGTCACTTGTAGTGTGAACGAATTATTCAAATATTTGATGAATAGAAAAATCAAAAGAACAGCATTTATCTGAAACAGAAAGCTTTTATACAGAAAGATTATACACTACTGTTCAAAATTTTGTTTTTTCTGGGAACCCTTAGTTTTTATTCACTAAGGATGCATTAAATTGATGAAAAGTGACAGTAAATACATTTATAATGTTACAAAAGCTTTCTATTTTAGATAAATGCTGCTCTTTTGAACTTTCTATTAATCAAAGAATCCTGAAAAAAAATTGAACACAACTGTTTTCAACATTGATAATAATAACTGATGCTTCTTCAGCAGCAAATAAGCATATTATAATTATTTCAGAAGGATCATGTGACAAACATGTGCACAAATTTAAACTGCTTGATTGCTTGTATCATCGCAAAATCTAAACTCGACTATTGTCGACTAGCTCAAATATAATAAAATATTATAAACATTAATATCATGGTTTTCTGTAAAGCTGCTTTTGAAACAATCTGTATTGTGAAAAGCACTACACAAATGCATTTGAATTGGCTTGATTTGACTTGACTTGAATAACAACTCTGACCTGTCTAAAGAGGTTGGGGAAGTCTTCTGCACCGTTGACCTTTCGGATACCTTTCCCTCCTCCGCCTTCAGAGGCCTTCACCATCAAAGGATACCCCACTAGTTCAGCCGCCTATCAATATGAAACATGCTTGGTCACTGACAGAACTAAACTATGAACATGTCACATTGTAAATGATGCTAGTGTGTAGTTTACCTTCAGTCCAGCCTCCACATCATGGACACAGCCCTGCTCGTACAGATCAGATGGGACATTAACAATTCCTTTCTTCTGGTCACTCTCAGTCCACTGTACAGTCAGCCCTGTACAAACACAGCATCATGGTGGTCAAACTCCAACAAAAAAACAGAAACAACATGTGGTTTGGGTACGTATGTCAGAAGTTTTTCTCAATTGGAAAATCCTCAGGTGTGTGTCTGAGGCTAACACTAACCTGATCCACTCCAGGGTAACGTGGGGATTCCAGCTGTCTGGGCCACAATAGAAGAGGCGATCTTATCCCCGAGAGACCACATAGCCTGGCTTGGTGGACCTAATGAAAGATATAAATCAATATAGAGAGAGCAGCACTATCACTGTACATTAATAATTGAATCAATGTGGTGCTTTATAATAATAACAACTCAGTCTCACCCATGAAGGCGATGCCATTCTTGTGCAGCAATTCCGGGAGTTTGGGGTTCTCAGAGGCGTGACCCCAACCGGCCCACACGGCCTAAAGCCAGAAGGTGAAAAAGTGAGAATAAGTGCCAAATCCCAATAAAGGGTCTAGCTAATCATGAGCAATAATAGTAATGTTCATCCTAGAACAGGGATTCACAAACTTTTTTTTCAGCTGTTGACAAAATCTTTTAAAAGCATATTTAAATCTAAAAAATGTAACACATTCACATGTTCACGCTTCTCTGATAACGGTTAATTTCACAAGGCGTAGTCAAACAAATATTTAATCTTTAATCTAATCAAATTCTATTATTTACAATCTACAGTGTCATTATTTTGTTATACATAGCAACGTAGTGCAATTTGCAACTGAAAAACACGCCTCATAAGATGAGATATTTTAAGATAATGCCTCATATCGTTGCTGTTGAAACATGCAGGCAAAAAGAATGATTTTATAGAAACACTTTGTTTTTTATATTATTAGAAGATGGAAATAGAGTACCATCATATTTGTCTTATCACAGTAATAATACTGTAACAATTGTACCTTAAAAGTGAAAAATACATTTAAAATTATAATAGTATTTTTATTTTATCCTAAGTTACAACACTATTGTTTTAAATTATTTACGTCCGAATGTTAGGCGTTGAACCCTGATTTACATTTTTATGATTTAATTAATGATTGGCTTTTCATAAACTCAAGAACCCAAAAGGTTTACAATTGCCATTTGGGAAACCCTGCCTCAGAATTTAATATTTTGGTATCTAATTTAAATGGCATCGAAACATTTTAAAGGGTTGGCTCACACAAAAAATGAAAATTCATAATTTATCACTCTCAAGTCATTCCAAACCCATAAGATATTTTCAACAACAAAAAAACTTAAAGGGATAGTTCACCTAAAAATGAAATTGCTGTCATTTACTCACCCTTAAGATGATATTTTGAAGAATATCGATGGTTGATGGACCCCCATCTTCAGAATATCATCTTTTTTGTTTAGTAGAGGGTGAGTAAATGATAATTTCATCATTTTAAATTTTTGGTGAACTATCCCTTCAAGATATTTTTAAATATCCTCCCAATTTGAAAATCCAGGTAACCAAAATATAGATAATACAAAAAAGACATAAGGGTGTCGTAAAATGATTTCATATGAATTGAGGGGTTTAATCCAATTCTTGTGAAGAGATACAATAGTTTTATATGATGAACAGAAGAGTCTAAATACTTTATGGAGCCACTTATTATTTGCCGATCATCAGCCATGAAAGCTCACATGAATTTACCTGAACAGGAATCCGTTTAGCTATATCCAAAATGAGTTCCACATTAGCATAGTTGTTGTTGTTTGTTCCTCCTGGGACAGGTACATAGTGATCTGCCATCTTGATGTACTCTGGAGACATAGTTAAACATCTGGATTTAATTGAACACATTTGAGATTATGGGCCTTTTCACAAATAACTTCCTCCTCACTGAACTCTTTCTATGCAAATTAGGCCAGGCTTGCGCCGACAAAACCAACCGACATATTTTAAACAATGGACCAATGTCATCCTGTCTAAATACATTTGACAGTCCATTATGGAGCTAGGAGTGGGGGGAGGTGTCCTTCAGCTATTTTTCAACTCTTATGACATTACAGTTAAGCCAAGCTTTTTAAAACGTACCTGCATTGGCCTTGAGGTCCTCTGGGGTGACCATGACGACAAAACGTATAGCCCGTTCATTCCGAAACATTTCATAAGCCCAGCGACGGATGGATCGCATGCACTTCACAGCGGCAATGCCATTGTTGGCAATGAGGACCTGAAGCAACAAAATGTGATATTCAGCGGCTTTCGTCTGACCAGGGTTAGATAACTAAAACCATAAACAACATTGTTATTAAAATAATAACCGTAACTGAACATTAACACTTTAAAATGTGGTTCAATTTAAAGTCTCCCTGTAGTTAAAATCTAGCTTTTAGTGTTGTTTACATGCCTGTGTGCTGTTTTCAATATGCTTTAAGGCAAACCATGTACAAATGGATAAGTCAACACCATTGCTGAGTATTTTCTCTTTAAAACTGCAGTGAACCAAAGACAGTCTCAAAAACATGGTTTGAAAACGCTAGGGATGGGCAACGATTTATCGCGATTAATCGCATCCAAAATAAAAGTTTGTGTTTACATAATATATGTGTATGTAGTGTGTATAGTTAATTTGTATATATAAATACCCACACATGCATGTATATATTTAAGAAATATTTGCATGTATATACTTTATATCTATTTATACATAATTAATATATATATATATATATATATATATATATATGCATGTGTGGGTATTTATATTTACAAATTAATTATACACACTACACACACATATATTATGTAAACACAAACTTTTATTTTGGATGCGATTAATCGCGATTAATCATTGCCCATCCCTATTTCTGACGTCACAATCTACTATGCAACCAATCACGTCAGCGCAACACGTGGATCTCTGAGCTGGTATGAGTGAGTGGAGGTGGGGCTAATTAGCATAGTAGTAGAACCGTGTATGCTAAATGAGGAAAGGGTGTTGCATTCAACCATTTTTAATAAAGCATGAAGAATTTGTTTTCAAGGAAAAAATGTTTAAATGTCATTTTGGTGATCAAAGATGAGTTTTAAGGGATACAATTACTGACTAGAGGGGGACTTTAGCTACATTAGTTAACATGACCCAATAACAAAAATTCTACTAATCTTACTTTCAACATTTTTTAATACATTATTAAAATCAAAAGTTGCATCCATTCATATTTTTAAATGGACCTCAGCTAAAATGAACTAACATTGAATAGTTGTATTTTTTATAAACTAATTTTTAACAAAATTAAGAAGTACTGTTGTAAATTCAATGCTCATAGTTTCTAATGGCGCTTATCCACTAAACAGTACCAGCTCGACTCGACTCGGCTCGGCTCTCCTTTGTTTGGTTATCCGCTGTGTAAAAGTTGTACCTGTACCTGCTTTCGGGTACTTTTTTTAGAATCACCTCTGGCGAGGTTATCAGACTTATAAATCGACTGCTGATTGGTCGGAGAGAATCGCCACCATTCACTGCGTCATCATTGCATGCGCCAGATGGAGTATCCAGAATATCCCCATTATTTTTAAATAGTTTGGCCAGAGATAGTTTCTAAACTTACTGCTATTATTATTATGGCAACTCGGAAGAATACGAAAGGCGTCGCTATGACGACTGGGTACTATTTGTGGCGGTACTCTCTGCAATGGAAAACGGCGCGAAAGCGAGCTGAGCCGAGCCGAGCTGGTACTGGTAATGGAAAAGCGCCATTAGTTAATGTTAGTTAATGTACAAACTAACATTAACTAACGGGAACTTGTAAAGTGTTACCGAAAACGTATCGACAGAAAGCCTTAGTGCTCAATTCCTTTTTTTTTTTTTTTGGTTGTTTTTTGGCAATATCATATTCGAATATAAACAGGCCACAGTGCTGAACTGCTCCGCATGCACAAAAGAACAATAACAAAGATGGCGCAAAGCACAGAATTATACAGAAATAAACACAAAGATTACTGAAGTCAGTCATGGAAACGTAACGTCATAAGGATGCAGACGAGAAAGAAAGCTGTAATATTTACTCTAATATTTATGATTATAACAGCTCATAGTCCCTCAAGTGACTAACTTCACTACCGTCTTACAAATTCACTGAGTGACCAAAGAACTACCAGTATGTACAAGCTTTCGAGTGACACCCATCTACACAGAATTGTGATGAATGTTGATCCAGAGTGACGTAAATGTCAAATGAAGTCTGATATGACTTTTCAGACTGAGGTCTCATTGCAAGACCTGTATCTGAATTTGGACCACATTTGGAAGATCATACAACATATGGTTTGTGCTGTTCTGTTATGAAAATATCTGAATCACAAATGAACAAAAAAAAATCGGATTTGGGCCACGTTTGCCTGCAGTCTGAAAGTAGCCTCCTTTTAATATAATAATAATAATTCAAATGACAAAAAAGCATAACAAAATTACTTAAAAATTCAACTTGAACTAAACTTGAACTTTAAACTAACTAAAATGAATACAGAAAATATAAATTCTAAACACTAATAAAAAATATAATCTTAATGGCACCAAAATAACAGTGGGCCACGCTTATACACAGGGCTCCAGACTGCGACCAAATGGTCGCATTTTGCGACCAAAATTTGAGAGTGTGCGACTGAATTTTACATCCAGTCGCACATGTGCGACCAGTAAATTTGCCACACGTTAAATGCATGGTAAAGCGTGGAAGGGGGGCGTCAATGAATCCGTGACAAGAATAGCGCGCGTAAACGTCTGTGGGAAGGAGACGGAGACAAATATTACAACCTGATGTGCGTCTGAGCAATCAGCGATCTATCGACTCGTTAGTCGTTACCTAGCAGCGAATGTAAACAAAATGAAAGTGGAACGAAAATACGCCACTCATAGCTATGATTAGGACTGTGGAGCAGCAGCAGCGATCCGAACCATTGACAAAATAAAGCCCCGAACTTGCCAGTCGCGGGTCGATCTCGCTCACGCAACACTGTTACTAGATCCAGTAAAGAAATCCATTGAATTCGCCTCAGAATTAATAACATCAACACCACGAGATCCAGTGAGAAACACTCCGATTCGGCGCAGAGTTCTGTTATAAACCATATCAAATCAAACAGCGCTGACGTGGAAACCAGGAGAAACACTTGACGTTAGGCTTTCAGTCCACAAATCAGCCTATCAGAACCATGCATTTAGGCTAATGTAGTAAGTTAATTCTAACCATAAATATGATAATGTGTAAGAAATAATCAAATGCTTACAAGTAGCCTACTACACATCTTTTCCCAGCACTTCAATAATATCATATTTGTATTTTTTATGTGATTACCAACACATTTTTTGTTCATCCTTTAAAGATTGTCCTAAAACGAAAAATTAAGATGTTGGAAAACTCTTATTTAAACACAAAAAATAAAAATAGGCTACCATTGTAAACAGGATGTTTATTGGCTATTTTCACTCCATAATCCATATACATATTTCACTACTTTTATTAATTAATATTAAGACATTATAAATGATAGTAACTAAAGTTAATTTCATCTACTTTCATCTACACCCTAAATTAAGCTTAGTGATTTATTGTCAGCCTCCGTGCTACCACATTTTTATTTTATTTTATTTTTTTGTAGAACTCGCTGTGAGTTCTCATTTGAGGTGATGCTGCCCTCAACTTTGAGTCTGGAGCCCTGTGAACTTAAAATAAAACAGCATATCATAATGTCAAGTCTATTTATTATTAAAGAATTTGTCAGTATTACAGTTATTTTGGGGGAAATTTGAATAATTGCATTGCAAGCTGATTTAAGGTGTGCCCCTAAATTTTCTGCTTGCGCTCCTAAAATTTTCAGTCAGGGGCAACAGCGCTCCTAGTAAAAAAAGTTAGTCTGGAGCCCTGCTTATACAGCAGCATAGCAGAGAGCAGTCATGGATCTTACCTTCTCAATGACTTTGTTTCCACCAAAGCGGGTGACAAACTCAGCAGGAGAAGCGACAGTAAAGTCTCTCTGCAGGTCCAGGCGTCTACGGTCCCTGCCCTGCTTCACAAGGTGAAGTCCTGACATGCTCGGCCTTGAGAAACAAACACAACAGCATCATAATTCACAATGTGGGCTATGAATACACTGAATACATCAAGATTAACACTACGGATATTAAAGGATTAGTTCACTTTTGACAAAACTTTTGCTGATAATTTACTCGCCCCCATGTCATCCAAGATGTCCATGTCTTTCTTTCCTCAGTCGAAAAGAAATTAAGGTTTTTGATGAAAACATTCCAGGATTTTTCTCCATATAATGGACTTACATGGGAACCAGACGGTCCAAGGTCCAAACGACAGATAATAACAGTTTCAGATGCAGCTTTAAATGTCTTTAAACGACACCAGACGATGAATAAGGGTCTTATCATGCGAAACGATCGGTTATTTCAAAACTTTATTTCCAAAAATTTAACTTTTCTAAGGACAAATGCTAGCCTTGCTCTATTCTGTGAGGCGCGTTTGCAACGTCACGTAATACGTAATTACGTTTAAATTAAGGTCATGGGCGACGTAGCCGGAAGTACAGAATCAAAATCGTCCGACATCGTTGTTTTACGTTTTAATTCGTTTTTTGTAAACGGTGTTTGAGTTAGTTTGCATGTTCAACCTATGCATTCAACTTGTAAACACTCTGACTCTGTACTTCTGGCTACGTCGCCCGTGACCTTTTGAACGTAATTACGCATTATGTGACGTTACAAACGCGCCTCACAGAATAGAGCAAGGCTAGCATTTGTCCTTAGAAAAGTTACATTTTTGGAATAAGCTTTGAAATAACCGATCATTTCGCATCATAAGACCCTTATTCATCGTCTGGTGTCGTTTAAAGACATTTGAAACGGCATCTGAAACTGTTATTAACTGTCGTTTGGACGTCGGACCGTCTGGTTCCCATGTAAGTCCATGATGGAATGTTTTCATCAAAAACCTTAATTTCTTTTCGACTGAGGAAAGAAAGACATGGACATCTTGGATGACATGGGGGTGAGTAAATTATCAGCAAAAGTTTTTTCAAAAGTGAACTACTCCTTTAACACACTTGGAAATGATACCACTGACTATACTGAATCTTTTCAGTTAATTAAATAAATATGGAGCAACACACAAGCAGGAGGAAAAAAAGTGATGACATAACAATAATAATTGATGAAATTAGCCCAACATGGCCATGATTTAACAAAAATAAAGAAACATTAATTATGGGAACAAATTCTTAATTTGTCATGTGAGGGGCAGTGCACAAAAATGTTGATTTGGTAGAAAAACTGCCACATTCCAAAAATATGAAAACTATGACAATAATTTTGATAATTTTGTATATGATGAATGATGGATGGCTTCAGGGGTACAGAAGGGAAATAAAGAACTTCTACATTACATGCAAAAAACATTTAGCTATGTTTAGAATGCAGTATTAACACACTTATATAGCAACAGTATATACCGTACATCAGCATTTCTCAGCTGGTCAGTTGCAAGACCATTTTGAGTGGGTCGCAGAGTGTATAGTATATATATATATATATATATATATATATATATTATTTCTTTTTTTCCTAAATGTCTTTTCTGATGCAAGACTTTTATTTTGAAAGACGTGCATGAAAGCTGTTGACTCTTCAGTCAGACATCATGAAACTGTTTTAGCCTGTTCGATCACCTCAGATATGAAAAAGACTGTGGGAAATGCATTTTCCACAAACTGTGGAAAATTAGAAGTGTACAGGGTGGGAAGAGGGGAGACAACAACCAATAATACACAGACCAACAACAAACATTATATACTAAGGCTGCTCGATTATGGCAAAAAAACACAATCTCGATAATTTTTGTCAATACTGAAATCACAATTAGCCTGTTTAACACAATTATTGGTGGGTGATATGATCAAAGTCTTATTTCATTCATAACATTAGTCATTTTAAATGTCAGTGAAATTTCATAATTATCAATACTCCAGCAAAAACTACAGTAAAACTAAGTTAATTAAAAATAGTTAAAAAAACACAATAGTGAACAGTCAATAAGAACAAAGCAACTAATTACAAACAATAGAACAAAATCAATAGAACAACAATACAAATTAAATAAACCGTGCTTTAGGTTTTTCAGGAAGATGTGGTAAACAGTGGTATTCAGATTAGTAATAGCCTAAACAGAAATTAAAGCCACCATATGTATTTTTTCTGCTTTAAAAATAGCAAAAATAACTGTATCTATGTTATATATTTATATTAGATGTGTACTTACATTATCCCGACAGTTTCCACCAACTTTCAAATACGAAGAAATTTATAGTTTAATTCGAAGACACGGGACGTTTCTTTATTTCCGTTTCGTCGCCCGTCTATGGCGTCATATAACCTTTGACTCCTCTCTTTTCTCTCAGTTCCTTGCGGAACCCGGCGAAACCGCCAAACACAAAGGGGAACACTGGACTACCGCCAATAAAGCTAAGAAAATGACGAAGAAAAAAAAGTAGTACGTATTTTTATGTGTGTAAATCACGTGCCCGCTCATGAGCGCTCACTCTTAACAGACACTGTCCCCGGTGCTGCTCGCGCATAAAGCGCTCCCCATCCACAGTAACCGCGTCGTATCATTCAAAACAGCCAACTGTTGCTGTTAGCGAGCCGCGCACATTGAATACTCATATGAGTCAGGCTGCGAATGTACGTGCCCGCTTTAGCGCGCTCATACTTACTAAACGCCTCACCTCCGGCGCCGCACACTCACTACATTCCCTTTAGCCTTTAGCACATAGTGGATGCATAACGCAAACCCAGTCAAACGTTTGACTGCAGTATCTTATGTGCTTTATAATCCGGTGCGCTCTATATATGAAAAAATGTTCTAAAATAGGTCATTCATTGAAGGAGCGTGATATAAATATTTATATTCGTCTGTATTAGCCTATAGTTATGGACCACGATTACGCTTTGCCTGCACGTTCTGCTGCTACAGCCAGCTCAGTAAAGCTCAAACGTACGGGTGAAAAATATGACCCGAGAAGGGTTTGGGACAGGAGAAGCATGACACAGGTAAACATTGGGGTTGCATTTAAAGCTTCTCGACAAGCTAAATCTACAGAGAGATGCCGTATATCCGTATATTTTGTAAAACGATGATGTCATGTCATGAGCTGAGCTGGTTGTCATTGACAGCGACAACAACTCCCGTGAGCCCACGCTCTTTCCCGACGTCATCAAAGTACGTCTTTTGTTATTATTTTAAATAAGTGACCCCTGGTGGCCAAAAATCCCATACTGTACGTTTAAATAAAGTAATCAAATATAAAATAACTCTTTTGTATCCACAAGTTTCCTACGCCCCATGAGGCCTTGCATCAAAAGTGGGCGCGTCTTCCAGTTCGAAGTAAACAAAGCGCGAATTGACATGCTTGACACTCTTTCATTCAACAGTTGACAGTCATTCAAGTTATAGCGATCCAAACCAGCTAACGATGTGGGAACACAACCTCAACGAAATTAAAAAGGGTGAAATAACAGTACCTTTACCGTCCACAGTAGTTGATTGGGAGTATTATAATAACATTATTAATAATCAATACTCATCAAGGCATGGTGACAGACAGTTGTGTGAGCCGACAAACAATTAAAATAAAAAATACACACTTAGTCATTGTGCTTTGGAGTTTATTCAAAATTATAAATGAATGTGCTACCTGAATACATTAACTGGCACATTTGGTATTCTGTCAACACAGGCTTTGATCCTGAGTTTAGGTGTAACATCATAGCAAACAGCCAAACACATGCTGATAGAGAATATTAAGAATTTAAACAAATGTACACAGGAAGATTCGTCGTCTTTTGGGAGGTGATGGAAACTAAAGTCGTTGGCAGGAACACTCTGATTTTGTTTTCGGCTTATGTTCAAAACCTCTATCTTCAAAACAATCACGTTTAAGCCACTGAATTAGTCCAGTTATACATACAACCGCGAACAGCACATGTTGTCCCTGAGCTCCGTAACGGCATCTCTCATAAAGATTTGCGTCTTTAAATAGTAAAATAATTCTCCGAAAAACAGCTAGCCTCTTCGCTAACTAACACACAAAATACCATTGGAATGCTACTTCCGCCGCCTTATTGGAAGTTTCACCCACTTTATTTTTTTACAGGAGCGCCCCTTGGAAACTTGTGGATACATTAAATATAAACTATCCCTTATCAAATGGCAGTTGATTCATTCAAGAGCAGCGAGTGATTTTATATTTGTCTTTTGTTGTTTGATTAACAATGCCTGCAGCAGATTTATTAGTCTGCTGAAGAGCTGCACACATCCAATATAGTGTTACATGCATGTATGCATTTTCTTTCACAACGGTTTACATTCCCTTAAAACATAATTGACTGTGTTAACGAAGATTCTTACCAAAATGGCATTTCCACATATTTGTGTATAGGCTATTTGACCATGTATCTGAAGCACACCGTATACTTAGCTTATGCATGTTCCCTTCAGTCACAAAGCGCGCACAGAAAGCCATGTAGGGAACAGCATCTCTTTCGCGAATTTTGATAACACTGTTTTATATCACACACTCCCCCAGTTTATCAACAGTAGCCTGCATTTTAAAACACTCACATACGTATTTGGCTGACTTGGATGTCAAGTTTATGGAGGAACGAAAGTGCACTGCCATGAAGGAAAGGAATGTGCGCTGGACGGAATACGGCAGCGGCATACTAATCGTTTTACATCAATTATCTTATTTTTGAAAAAATCAATTATGATTAAATGCACAGCCCTATTATATAAAACAAATTAAATATTAAAATATGAGAGAAAAAAAAAAAATCGAACAACAAACCCACAAACATCTAATCATTACAGAATACAAGCAAGAACAAATCAAACACATTCTGATCAATTATTCTTAAAAATATCAACAAATCAGCATTATAAGTTGTTACTGTTAATAGTTATTGGTCTCTATGAAAAATAAAGAAGGACTATAATAATATTTTCTTGATGTTTACGAGCACTATAATCTCTGAAC